TACGTTCAACAACGCACGCACAGGAGCATAGAAATTATTTTGCCGCGGAATAAAAATGTTTACGCGATAAAAAAAGCAGCGGCAGCGTTCGCGATAACTTTTCGGCTTTGTCACGTTTCCGTTCGCCGACGTACGTTTTCGTCGGTCCGTTTGCGGAATTCTAGGTAAAATACTCCTTTTTTTTCTCCTCTTTTTACTTCCTTTTTTTCCCTTTCTCTCTCTCTCTCTCCCTTTTTTTTTATATATATATATAACGGACGTGCCGCCCTCTCTCCCCTCTCCCCCCGCTCGAGTGAGCGAATATCTAATTTTGCGCGCGAAACGAAATTGCGTTTCGCGAATTCGCGGGATTATTTACAGCGAGATAATTGAGTATTGTTTTTACATATGTTTTTCACGTTGCACACGTGATTTGCTCGGAGGTCCATTCTAATGTATCTCTATAATTTGATACACAACACGCTGTTCCGGCGTTGTTATAATAAACAAATTAATTTCTGTTGATAATAATCCAGCTCTTCTATGTATGTAGATTACGTTTTACGTCACACAACAAGGCGCAATATGTTTTCGCGATATATCGAATAATATTGCGCGCCGCGCCATCGTGAATATAAATTTTTGATCATCTTGTTGGGGCGCGAGATTATTCTCGATGATAAACTGAAAGTAGTTTATTTATTAAGTTGATTATAAAAAAAAAAGAGAAGAATGTTATTTTATTCCCAGTATAATATGCTTACGCGCCTGTTAAAAACAGCCGAGAGGAGCGTCCAATATGCATATATGTTGCTGCGAGCGCGTTGCATACTTTATGAAGAATAAAATGTGAAATGCGCACGGTACTGAAATTAAACTTTTATGGCCGATCGATTGCTATCTCGAGCGAGGCACTGATTTCGCTCCGATACTCCTGTAATTCAAACGTAAAATGCTTAAAAATTCGTCGTATCCTCGCGATAATTAAAATTAGTCGCTTAAAATGAGTCCTTTCTCGCGCGAGTTTTTTTTTTTTTTCATCCCTCGTTTACAAACGCACGAATTTGCCGTTAATTTATTTTTAGTCCGCATGTTTTATGGAATTTATCTAATATTTACTTCGTCGCGACAGTTTTAAATTCCGAAAAAATATATTGCTTTTTAAAATCGTTGATAGTTGTTATAATTGTGTTATATTGTATCGCATCACTTTAACGAGCAAAAATTGCTTTAGTATTAAACGTTGCATTTTTTTTCACGGTCGAAATTGCAACGAAATTTTAATTGTTCTATTAAATTCGTTGTCGCTTCAAAGAGCATCCACTCGCAAAATTCACAATCCTTTTAACTACAATATTTCCATGAATATTAATTCTAAATTTGTAATTTAGTTTCCTTTGACGGCATAATTACTCGACACCGACTGATTTCATATCCACATTACTTGCTACAAGACGCAAACAGAATTACGTAACTCTATGTTTGAAGACTCACGTCAGACGCAGCTATTATCTGGCCGGCTGAGTAAATTCATCAAAAGACGCATAATAGGAACATAGAGTCTGCAGCGAATAATCGATACTTTGTACATATCGGTGACAAAATATTTTTCCACGAAAAAAATATAAGGAAGCACTTGAAAAATCAATCTCCTTTCCGTATCGATTCGTAATCAATTTTTTCAATATCGCTCCGTGTAAAGTGAGCTATAGGTATTCTACTAAACTCTTTGCCTTTCTTATCTTCGCTTATCTCCCTCGGAACACTGATGAAAGTCTTACGAACATTGATGAAAGTCTTACGAACTCTTATATGCTAATTCGGCTAGATTTCATTAAATATGTAGTAAAAGAGATGTCTATATTTTTTATTATAATTAAATATCTTGTAAGAATGATCTCTAATAGTTTGCACACTCTTCTGATGAAAAATGGAATTTTCATCAGACTGGTAGTATTTTTTTAACCTACTTTTGCTCCGAAAGAAAGAATACATTTACAATAACAATTTCTCAATTAAATTCGCTATGTAAATTTCGCGAACGAATATAATTTGTCCGTAAATGGCAGGAGAAAACTTGTGCGACAGGATAGCACAGCAGAAATTCCGCGACATCGAATTCCGTCATCGGCTAATTGTAAGCATTCCCAAGTCACTAATTAGAAAACTAGAAACTGCGAACGTTATCTCGCTTGGGAGAGATAGCAGTCTTGAAGCAGCGCGGGCTGGAAGAACTAGGACCATATTGTTTGAATTATGATGTAAATAACTCGAAGCTAAGACATTACTGAGCCCCGCGATGAAACGGAAACTTTCCAATGAACTAATTTCGTCCTGTTTAATATACAGTGTATTGTGTAAAATATCCTAAATAATGCACAGCGAGAATTTAAAATTCTTATTTCCCCAACTTTTATTTTGAGATTTTTAATCCTCACCGCAGTCAAGTTTTCCAGCTGGAGTCTTAACATAATTACATAATTCCGGTAATAACTGCACGAAAGTATACAAACGACTTTAATAAGCGTGCCTCAGCGTTTGCGATATGCTGATTCTTTCTTTGCTTTTATCGTGTCAGCAAAACTGTCTCGCGAGACCCGAGTCATTCATCACCTTCACCGTCCGCTTGGATCGGTCGTTTTATAACGAAGTTACATCGCGCGTGGTTCCAGAGAGCGGAACAAGGTAGTAAGTGGAATTAAAAATCTCTCCTTCACCTCTCGAGTACGTTATGGGCTAATTTTTATGTTAATAACAAGGGATCGTACGGCTTTCTCGATAAATATGTTCGGAATTTGAGTGCAAAAAGGAATTGCAGGTGAATAAATCGCGCGTATTTTCAACCATGTGCGATTTTTCCACGTCGTTCAACCCTCGACAGGGCAAAGACACGAACTACCTCGTCCGTATATTTTATTCCGCTTCTACATTTCCACTTTTCATCGGCAAAAGTGAGTCGGAAAACCGCGAAGCAGATACCATGTGTCACTCGAGTTCCACGATCCGCGGAGAGACACGAGTTCGTCGAGGCTTTCTTCTTACGTGCTTCAAATTTCGACCGATCATGAATCTTAATAATGATTGAGTGATTAATCCTGTTTTTTAAATCTCAATCTTGGCGAAAATAATGGTACTCCGGATGACGAGAGACCTGGGCTGAACAGCTCCCATGATTTATTCCGTGGAGACTATTAGGGGACGTTACGATGTGATCAATCATTCTCGCCGCGGAAGTTTGCTGGAAAAACATATTTGCATTATGCATATCGGATCGCGCAAAATGTACATTTACTGAAACTTAACAAAGCGTAGTTGTAGGAGGGTCTCTGTTACATTCTTAATTATGTCTTAAATTTTAAACGATAGAGACTGCTATCGTTTAAACGAGAGAGACTGCTATCGAGTAAATATTCTCTTTGTAACCATTAATGATATTATCAATTTGTCAAAAAGGAGCATGATTTGCAAACGAGATTAGCGAATTTAAATGTTGCAAAATGTTATAATTTAGACTTATTAGAATTACACAGAATAAAAATTGCAATTCGAATTTTGCTTCATAAAGCTATCGTAAACAAGTTATAAGTCCTGCAAATTTGCGTAATATATATTATGTAATCGTAGAATATACTGTGTCATATCACGTAATGTTTACTCGTTTCAACATTTATTTTTCATTTTCATCCTTTATTTTCGACAGTCATTCGCCATTTATATTTTGCTTCAACATTGTGAAAAAATAACGTTGCATTTGGTGAGAGATTAATTGTATTTTTCGTTGTAAATAACACTGGTTAATTAATTCTTTGTTCATATATTTCTCTTGTAACTATTATCCATCTACTATACGTATATCGTGTGTCCTAAAAATGCAGAAAATTATATATCGCGTGTAATATATGTGTACTTTTTTTCGTTAACATTCTTTGAAAAGTCTTCTAAATTTACTTTGTATAGAATTCTTTCAAAATTCTCTCTAAAATTTCGCGATACATCTACTAAAACTAATATTTGAGATTACTGATTTTTAATGATATTTAATAATGTTTCATTCTTTAGTATCTAAAAGTGAATCAGTATTATCACTAAAAAACAGTAAATAGTCACTGATTATAGCAGTTATAAGTACAGCACTGCAAATCAGTGATATTTTATGAAAAAATCAGTTAATAATTTTGACTGTTTCAATCAGTAATATTTGTCAATATTAATAATATTTCTTTCTATCGTTAGTATTAAACTATAATTTATCTCTTCATAATTTTCATTAAATCGTCAGACATTTATTTGTCCGACTTATATAAGATCGATTTAATACCTGAAGCCTCTCTATTGAGATTGTATCAGAAATTAAATCGAAGTAATACTTCTAATTTTATCTGTCGCTCTTTCCAAACTTTATATAATTCTTATGACTAAAACTAAATACGAGAGAAATTATTACAGTGAAATTTACTGGTTTTATAGAGAATTTTATTTTAACTGGCCATAATCAGTAAGATATAAGATAAAACGACAAAAAAAAATAAGCGTTTCCACTGAAAATCAATAAAATACTCACTGATTCTCAATGAAACTTTATTTTACTCTTTAAATCAGTGATATTTTCACTGATTCACTTTTAGAGAGTACCTTCTATGATTGCTGTAAATTTGCTACATAATTACAGATCTCACTCCTTGACGCTTTTATTTTCCTGGCATTGAATTCAATATAATTGCTACGAGCCTAAATCTCGATATTATAAAAAAGAAAAGAAGAAGACAAATGAGAATAAAACTTTAGCTTCGTCAAAATCGAAACGAAAAGTACGGAGATTCTCTTTCTTCATATATAAAAAAATTCTCATATATCCAAAAATTGAATTCGGCCGGATTATAACGTTTCCAATGCCCGCTCTCCCAAAGTCCCGTGCAAACTCCCGTCCCCCTCTTTTCACCCCCCCTTCCCCCTTCCCCCTCCCCCGCCCCCCTCCTCCTCATGCGTGCCGTCTGAATACGTTTGTTTTCTCGCGTGCACAGTGGACGCGCGGTTGAACATGTTAAAGTCGCTCGGTATCGGGGCGAAACATTTACCCTTATCGCCTTTACCGCCCACGGTTATCCAGGGGGTTGCGATGGCGGGCGACAACGGGGTTGGTAATGCCGCATCGACGCCGAGCGCCGTCGGCGCATCCGGAAACTGCACTACCGTCGTCTACGCGTTTCCGGAAGAGGAGGATCACCTAGTGGTGGGATACCTCAATGAGTGGATCAATGCATATACCTTCATAACGAGTGAGTAACACCATCGATTGCGGCCGTGCTTGTACTTTCAGCTGGTAAAACACGCTGTCGCTACCCAGCCCCTCTATGCCAGGGTTGGATACGACAGGGTAGTTCCACGAGCGAGGTGAATTGGCGAATGATATGTATATTTTGATGTCATCCTGCGCGAGAAAGGAAGGGATCATTCTTGATCATCGCGCGGGTCAATATCAGAGTTGGTTCAACTTTGAAACGCCGAAAATATGGCCGTACCTTTCAATTTTTGACTACGAATGGTATGAAAAAAGTTTTCTCGCACGCATCGCGCACGAAGTTGAACTAAAATTGAAATTGATCGATTTGTGTTTCAGTTTTCCATTTTTGGAAACGTGTAGAGAGAGTCGAAACGACAGCTATTGATCCCCCCCCGTTTGGCAAATATATGCATTGTGTTGTTTGGCATTGTTTCCCTCGTTGATGTAGCATGTTAGTGGAGAATTTTACTTTTCATTCGCAATTTCGAGCTTTATTTGACTGCCGCTTGTCTATAAATACAATACGGATCTACAAATCGGACAAGAATTGGATTGAAGTTATTATCAATATTTATATCCTTGTTTTCTCCCATTATGAAGCTTGAATCTGTGCTTCTCGATATTTTGAAAGAGAGAAATTCTAAGATGGGCGTTTATCGTGATCTCTGCAGACAACCAGGAAAAGTTTTACCTCTACATTATCGTATCGGTCAGCGCCGGTATCCTGCTCTTTTTGGGACTGGTTATTGGCCGCCTGTTAGTCAGCCGGCACCGTGCCAAGAGGGATGCAAAGTTCCATGCGAATAATGAGACCCTTCCAAATGGATTCACCGATGATATCTCCGAAATCGATGCGGATATCGATCTCACCACCCCAGTTGCAGTACCAATGCAAGAAGCCAGGTAACGTTCTTTGTTTCACAAAAAAGGAATCCATCTTGTCAACCCAATCAATAAGATCTGATAGACCTTTAATCATCTTAAATAGGGATCAATTTGAAAAGTATCTGCTTGGAAATGTTCAATCGCGTTTGAATCTTGAATCAATCATTATTTATGATAATGAATAGAATTTTACTACAACATCATCTTTCTCTCGTAGATTGCCCGAGACCCAGTTGGCCGAGAGGCTTCACGGGGAACGTTACTACGCCGATACGAGGATACCTCTGTCGCCGACGAGCATCCACGTCGCGTCGGTGCCTCACGCGACCAACACGGGGATGCGCGTCGATCTCGGGAACCACATGGTCGGGACGGACAATCTTCACACGATCCTCCGCGCGGAGAATCCCCGGAGCCTCAACAGCAAGAGCTATTACTACGGCTGACAAGAGGACGGGGTTGTCCCGCGCGAGGGACGACCCCCGTCCTTGAGCCCGGTACCGGAAGTGAGCACGCGAAAATATTGCTTTTAATTTCACGCGACAGAGGCGGAGGCTTGCTCGTCGTGCCGAGCCGCTGTAAATTATGTTGAACACTATGAGAAAATTGTGCCATTTATTGCACCGAGTTACGACAAGTAGCGACAGTGCAGTCGCAGATTTGTCGGACTAACTTTAACGACAAGCCCCGCTGAGAGCCGTTAAAACAGACTTGCACGCTGCGGATTTGTAATATGCGTCTGTAAAAGTGTCGTCCATTTTATCGGGATTTGTGCGAATGTTCTCGAGGAGATATGTAATAATCTATTGTCGGCAAAAGGGTGATGTAGGGAATGAGCGAATCATGTAGATCACGACATTGTTTTGCGAGAAAGTAGCGATACGTTAAGAAAAAAGTCGATTTATAAATAAGCTCGCGAGGAGAGGGGAAAGGGTTCCTCCGAATAGAACTGAAATAGTTTTTAAGGACCATCGCAAGCATTTATAGATCTGTTTATAGCTGAACTAGTGCAGCCTAGTGTAGCCAGTTCAGCTATAAAGAGCAGACCTAATGTTACATTATGCATTTAACCACCAGCGACAGAAAAAGAACAATCTCTATCATGCAATCAGACATTCGTGACAAGATTGGAATTTGAATTCTGATCACTCTTCCGAGTACGAATTAACGAACATTAAGAAAGCACTAAGAAAGTAGACGTTACACTGATAATATTTATTTCTTGGATTAACTAAGCTGTATGGATTTGAGTTTTCATTGATTTGACATAGATAGAGACTGTGTTACCGGACCTGGGTACTCGTCGATTGATCACCTCGCTGTATACCTTGTATGCACTGTATACCTGACTGTTATACCCTCGACAGAGTTTCTCACTGAACGAAATGAGCTTCACGAAGCATATCGACAACTGGCCGGTAACGTTTTTGCCGACAGACTTCTGGAACGTTTGGTTTGCGCGACCTACATATTGCTGGTGATCAGCTGCGAATCAGTGAGGGAAATCACCAGGTCACAGGCATTCATCTCGTGAATGTCGACAATATGGAAAGCAACATCGATGTATTTATGGGTGATATTTTATAATTTCGTCGAAGCGAGATTCGTCAGAGCGGACAGTTTTTCCCTTGAGATAACGCAACCCCTCTCGTTAGGGACAGAAAAAGACTACCCAATGTTAATCGAGGTTCTTCGAACCTATCACCGTTCGCGCGCCAGCTGGAAATTATCGACCAGTACGACCAGTAGGAACAGCGGCCGCGTAATCACACCCACACTCAAGAAAAATCTCTCAATGAACTTACAGCGGTTTTGTACACCGAAGCTACGCTGCCAACACGCAACGCATAGTCGCGAGACGATTTTTATAGAAACACTGGTACGTATGTATGTATATCACGTTGTAAATAGGAACGTGTGATGTGTAATATATGGATAAGTAAGCGAGAGAGGGACGCGCGCTATATAAGACTTAAATCGAAACGGTCGGAGATTGTAACTGAGGGTCGCCCTTTGTGCCATACACGATCGATTTCGTCCGGGGAAACGGGAGAGAGAGAGAGAGAGAGAGCGCGTCTCTCTGTCGAGCTCTCTTGCGAAAACTCTCCCTCGCGGACGATCGCGGATAAGGATTAGTAATATATAAGCAGAGTTCGGATTTTCCTTCCATGTAAAGTGGAGTGCGGATTTCGACCAGCGATGCGCAATCTTGTTTGTCACGTGTCATCTTTCTCACAATTAGCCATCGATCGCGAAATTTATTTGTACAGGAGCGACAAGATGATATCGGGGTCATACACATTGTTTATTTTATTCGAAATTGAAACTTTGTGGAAAAATTGATGTATCGATAAGTCTAAGTGACAGGATGAATATTAGATGTCAAGTTTATATTTTTGTCGCGATTAAATTCAGCTGAAAAATATTCGCCTGTTTTCTTTTTTTTTTTTTTTTTTTTCATCAGAAAAGCTTTTGACATTTCTCGTTATTTTAAAAATACATCGAGTTTTTATTTGATGATATGAATTCATATTTACTTTCGTAGTCTTGTACAAGAGCGAGATGTCATGCGTCACGTGGGAAAATATCATGATGGATTGCGAATCGCGGAACTGCACTATTATTCTTTCTATCACTAGCCACATTAATGTAATTTCGCTCAACTGCCCGTAGTAGTATACGACAAATCCGAGCTCCCGCAAACCTCGTCCTCGTTGTTTGTTTGTACGTCGTTCGGTAAGTCGTAATCTCCCGAACTCGCGCGCACAGTCGTTATGACGAATCGATCTCGCGGGTATCCGGCGACGCGAAGTCGCATTTTCGACACATCAGCGAGGTCGTTAACGTAATGGCGCCCACGCACACTGATCGTTATCTTTAAGGGCTCAGCCATCAATTAGGCGATACGTCGAGGTCGCACGAGCATCGCGAAACGTCACAATTTGACACATCTCGCACGTGGAAAGCGCGGTCATCGGGAACATGTCATTCTCACCGATTGATTTTTCGACATACGTGCGAAAATCTCACTGTGCGTGTGCGAGAAAATTAACAGATTTTTATCTCCGTAGACCCAGCGATTTTGATATACGATTGGTATTTTTTTGTCGAATTTTTTGAAAATTTTCCCAAAGAAAATTAGATATTTCTATCTCCATTTATTCGTCCCTTTGAAAAATCTCTTCGTTCTCTTGTGCGAGAGAGTGTGAATAAATGAATCGATTGCTTTGTAGACTGTCTGTTGGTCACTAAAGAATTATATTTTTACAAATTATTTCTAATTACAAATTAATGCAATTAATAATTTTGTATATATGCTCTACATATGCAACTTTTTTGAAGATTTTCTCAAGATTTTCTAGTTATATTTATTTAAAATCAATCTTCACTGCAATTAAACCATGTAAAAAATATTTCAGAAAAATTTACTTTTATTTGTTTCAATATATATATATATATATATATATATATATATATATATATATATATACACACACAGGGTGTTTCATAAGTGGTGGGCAAAATTTCAGGAATAGATTCCTCATGCTTAGAGAAGAAAAAAGAGTGAATCAATATAGGTTCAGAAATGAGTTTTTGAGTTATTAAGATTTTTGTAACACAAAATTTTCTCTCATTTCTCATCTTAGAAGTCCTTTTACAGGCATCAACAATGTTTTTTAGGCCGCCAAACTTGAAAAACATTGTTGATGCCTATAAAAGGACTTTTAAGACGAGAAATGAGAGAAAATTCTGTATTACAAAAATCTTAATAACTCAAAAATTAATCATTTCCGGACCTATGTTGATTAACTTTCTATTTTTAATGATAATGTTGGTTAATGTTCTCTTCTCTAAGCATGAGGAATCCATTTTTGAAATTTTGCTCACCACTTATGAAACACCATGTATGTATATATATATATATATATATATATATATATATATATATAGAGTTTATTGTTTATAGCCTGTGCAAATTGTAGCAGAAATAACAGCAAAGACCGCTCTCGGAACAAGCAATATCGCGAGCAACATCGATAACGCAATTTCCGCGATTCTGCGACGATGTAACCGAACGTGTAATCGAGCACCGACTGAAAATATAATTACCGGATGTCATCATCACGCGGCGAGATCTAAAAACTTGGAAACGAGTTCTCTTCGCTCGGGCGAGATGCAATTACGTAAAACTTGCAGGTGCGCGCTTCTCCCTTTTTTTTTTTCTTTCTTCCCTTTTAATTGGTCCGCATTAATTAAGGTTTATGTATCGCAAAGCTGTACGGGTAGCCGCCATTTCGGAGGAAAATCCCTCCTCGTCGGGGAGAATGGTTCTTCTTCGTTATTATTCCTCCACTTCTCACGCTCGCCTCGCGAGCCCCTCGGGCTTTCCCTTTGTGGGGGGAACCCCTGCGGAATTTCAGCGCGGGATGGCGTCTTGTATTTATGCAAATGGCGTTATGTAACACGTTCTCGAGATGCTCGAAAATCCGGAAACACTCGTCACTCTCTCTTTTATTTTTTTCCTACCTCTTCCCTTTATTATTACACCGTTATTTTCGTTTCTCTTATTTTCGTTTCTTTTTATTTACATCGAGACGATAATATCCTTCTTTTTCCGCAGCTCTTCGCTCGTTCCTTCCATTCTATGAATGATAAATATCTCATTCCCAGAATACTCTGACTCCTTCCATTAATATATTGCGTTTAAAAATATCGCCGATGCGGTTCGGAGCAATCGATGTCGCCATTAAAGTTTGCTTTACGCCAACACACGAGACGTTAAATGTATGCAACGTGTCGATGTATTTCGCTCCTTGTACGCTGTCTTATTTCGTCGAGCGTGTTGCCACGTCGAGAAAACAAGGAATTCCCCAGGGAATCGTTCATTGCTCAAATAATGACGTCTCTCGTTGATCCGTCACTATTTACATGACAAGATGCAAATCGCAAATTGCCGCGAGCCTCGTCGTCTGAGATGCAAATTAGCCTCGTGTAAATATACACCATACCATAAGAAGGATCCCTTATATATTTTTATTTTTCAAATTGCTTATAAGTTCCTTTCAACGTCCGTTCATCTTTTCATCGGTAGCGGAACGTCTTTGAAAATTCCTCATTATCGATAGCGAGCTCGCGATTGTATTATTATTTATCCTCATGTTTCATCCAGCTGTCATCCAACGGGATGAATGATTTATAGCAAAGACACTTTATCGATCGATCGATCACCGGTTGAAAAGGCCGACGGATTACGCGCGTATCTCTTCTAGTGCGAATTGTGGCTCTGGTATTACGTAAATAGAAAAAAAAGAGCAGGCGATAATATTTTGTCGAAAAATTGGAATTTATACTCGCGGTCGTAAACGTGCATTATTATGTGAAATTCGGTGCGTAATTCTGTAATAATGGTTTGTTAATGAACGAAATGTGAGAAGGAGGTAATGCGATTACGCGGAGCGAGCATTTATCATAAATGCTCATAATAAACATTCGTTCCACATCGCTGCCGCTACCCTCCATGATTATGTTATGCATTAACGTCTATTAGCATTATTACGCGTGCAATGCCATTCCATGAAGATTTTTGCATGTAACGATATCGCGGTGTTTGAAGCAATTAAACATGCTAAAACTTAAGAAACGGGATACCAAATCAATTATCAATTTCCAGTAATAATTTATTAATTTTTAATAATTAAATATTTAGTAATTTAATTTAATAAATTTTATCAATATTCCTTTTTTTCTTTCTTTAACGAATAATGCTGATTAACGAGCACAATCGGGACGGTATAAAGGGATTCGTGTGTGAGTTTCGCTAATACTCTTGCAAATTTTCATTACGCCTCTTTCGGTATTAATTAGTCTATTCTCGTTGAAGCAACCTTGTTCGGAGTGCCTGATATTAATTGACGAGAAGCGCCCATAAATATACCGTACGTACTCGCAACCTCGTCGTCATGCAAATTCACGCGAGATTCTTCGCGACAGAATTGTCGCTTAATGGCGGCAATGCAGGAATTTATGTTCGCGTTATCCTGATTTATATTTCCTTGCGAGGAAGTGAGAATCCGCCGTGATAGGGGGGAAACGCCATTCCTCTTTACGTATCGGCGCTAATCACGAATGAGGAAATCGCAGAATATTGTTAATATATCGTTTCGAAGATCTCTTGAGTTTGAATTTTTAATTAGTGCTCGATTTACACACATCGTCTCCCTTATACGACTGATAAGAGGACCTCGCGAATTGGAAAATTCTGATCTTGATGAAACCTTACACACGTGCTACAAGAGTAAATAGATGAATTTTCATTTGCGGCAAAAATGATTTCAAGGGATGAAATTATCCCTCATATGGGGCGGTTTTTTTACTTTTCTCGATATACCTCAAAAATCACTTGAGATATCAAAAAATATTTTATACAAAATATTTATCGTAAAAACATCTCTATTTAACTACATGAATAAAATTTTGAAAAAGTAATTTTTCAAAAACATTCTTTCACAAATCATTGAAAGAAATTATTTTATTAATGTAGTCAAATAATGGGTATAATAAAAAAAATAATAGGTATTTTTATCGTGAAATTTTATATAAAATATTTAATAATTTTTCAAATAATGAGATACATTGGGCAAAGCCATTTTGCATCTGAAGGATGGTTTTATCTCTTAAAATCATTTTTAAATTGCAACTGAAAATTTCTAAATTCATCTATTGACCTTTTCCCCTACATGTGTATAAAGTTTCATGAAAATTCAATCAGAATTTTTCACAAAAGAATTGCGACTACTTTTATATTTCGAGCGACAATTACTTATTTTAAGCGACAAAGTAACGTACGTACCGTAACGTTGCTTCGCGTTAAATAACGTAACATTTTGTAGACAATGGTACGGAAATATTACGAGAGAGAGAGAGAGAGAGAGGAAGAGAATGAAAGAGCGAGAGCGTGTTAATATGCGTGTCATATTAAGACGTTTTTTTTTTTCATTGTAAGTATCACTTGTAAGCAACACCTGTAAATATCGTTGTACTATAAATAATCGTGTAATACCCGTTCTTTCCCGATTGCGAATCGCACGTTTTTACATTAATCGAGGAACACGCGCCGACTTGTGAACGGCGGCTCGATAAATTGTTACTACAAAACAATAGATAACGATGTACGGCGTACGTATATAAGTGTGAGTTAATATTTTTGTTATAAAGCCAAGCCGGAGGTTCACGTAGAATAAATCGTCGTCGCCAGGGAAGTTTGAGAGCACGCGTCACATCTGTTATTAACGTTTCGAGCGACCATGGTTCTTGAACTTTCAAGATTAATGTTTTCAATTTTGTGTAACTATCCCTCGAATATGATTTATAATTATAATAAATGACTTATGGACACACAATGCGATCTGTCTACACGTTCATTAATTCAGTTTACTTCCGAAGGGGTATTTATGTTTTCGAGGGAATGAAAAAACCGTGCGCGCGAGAAAAAAAAAGCACAATACAACACGCGGGGGGAGAATAATAAATGAGGCTGGGAAATAAGTTTTATCACGATTTGTGACCTTCATTATTCTATACTTGCGTCATCATATCGCGGATTACTTTGCGCCTAAACTCGCATCTCGCCGAATGGAAGGGGCGGGAATTTCCGGGTTGCGAGGAAAGAAAATCTCGAGTGAAAAATGTCCGAAAAAAAAAACATTTTTCATCATGTCATTGAAATTTACAATCATTCCACCTAATCTACGGGGAGCAGCCATTGTAACGCCGAGCAATAATTTATAAAACAATGCAATACGCAGGACGAAAACAATAGTACCTTAGCACCTCTGTCGCAACTGAATTAATAGCCGAGCGCAAACACACACATGCGCGCGTATGTTATCGATTAAGCATCTATTACATTTAGTTACATCGGGCGATACGTCATCTCTTTAATCACTTTCGCCAGACACGGATTAGCGGATGTAATCGTAACAATATGCGAGAGATGGGGGGGGGCGATAAGGAGGGTGGGAGGGAAGGGGGTCGAACGCGTTACACATGTGGAATCCAACCACCCTCGTGGGAATACAATCGCTCGATAATAAACTGCTGGCCGGAGCTTTGAACTTGTTTCAACGTTACGCGTTAATTGCTCGCGAATTGCCAGATAATTATGCGCGGGAGAAAGTTTGAACCCGCCTGGTTCGAACTTTCGCGTGTGTCTCGGCGCCTTCTTTCTTGCCGTGGATGAAGCCAATTTAATTGCATCGGAAAATTTGATTGATCAATATTCGCTTTCGCTTCGCCATTCGACTCGCTCCTCTTTTCCTTTAAACTTTCCGCCGCGATTTTTATCGTCGAACTTTATCAGGGATGCGATTTGAAGAATTTTTTCATTTAAATTCC